AACTTGGGTGAATGGAAATAAACAGAAAATTGAAGGGAAGGAACAGTAGACAATGATAAGGGGCTATCAACAATAATGTATTTTCATTTGATACAACTCTGCACATAGTGCGGGGCAAAGAGCAACACCACAACCCCTGCAAAAATATTTGGTAATTGTTCGTCGAGATTCTAGATCCGAACATTGCACGCAATCATGATATTTTTTTTCGTAGAGTTGGCCTTTAGTTAGGGTGACCATATTCCCAAACCCGAAAAGGAGGACACCTCGTTTGGTAGAACAAAATTTCACATGTGCCTGAGATATACATTATATAAATATATTAATATATATCTAGATAATTTAGGATTAAAAATAGAAATAACAACAGACGACGTAACGACAATGCAATAATGCATTCTCGTTTTGTCAACGAGCAACTGTAGCCGCATGTACTACAGGGGTGTGACTCCTCTACGGCCCATGGGCCGTGGCCACGGCGGCATAACATATTATACTGGGTCTACTGACATAATTTACAGCTGAAATCGAAATTCACCAAATTGCTAAAAACAAGATGAAATGACCTGAAGATAATCGCAGAACAACACGATTTTTAGGTGATAAACAAGTATGCATTTAACCTAGAGATGTGGTTCTAAACTTTTCCGTGTCTGCCAAACCTCAAACGCCATTGTGCTAGCTCCAGTTGAGCCCCATTCAACGGTTGAAATTACTGGATTAGGAGCGCAATTAGAACTTCACAATAGAGAAGCTAGTTTTGTGAATGGTTATAGAAAATGATAATTGTGGTGTGACCTTAGATATCAATATGCAGCGTGGAAATAGTCATTGTTGTCTCACAATGATGCTGGTAGCAATAATCTTTTGTTGTATAAAAATTGCACTTTTAAGATCGGGAAGATGATACGACATCTCAAAAAGGTTGTTAGCTCAGTCATTTCTCAAACTGCATTGGAATGTGGATTGAAAAGGCTTTTTTATAGACTTTGCAGGAATTGACATAGTCTACCTTATGACCTAGCGTTATTTTGAGGCCGTCCAGTACGGATGATAATTTAGCAAAGCTCTAATGGAATATTTGTTGCCACAAATGTATTACTTAGTGAAACTAATAACGTCTTGAACCTATATCAATTTATATACACTTATTTCCTACATCAACCTTTCGTAAAACTGAGCTATAATTTTTTAGTAGATTAGAAATGTGGTGTTGAGCACGAAATAACTGGTTTGTCATAACAACCTAACTAAGGTATTTCCAACCTATTTTGTATTCGAGGTTTATTAAGGTTTTATTGACATATCAATGCATTGCTTACTTACTTTTACTTACTAAATTTTTTTAACCCATCAAAAAATTTGAATATGTCGTGAATAAATTTTAAATATTTAATTCCTTGGAAAAAGGAGGACATTTTGACCTTTTAGAGCGTCCTCGGAGGACATAAAATTTTCAACGAAAAAGGAGGACAAATCCTCCAAAAGAAGGACGTATGGTCACCCTACTTTAGTGCATTTACTGGCAGTTGGCATGGGCTTGGTAAACTTATTTCAGAGCGAGGTTTCAACAAGTCAAGACAAATGTACATATTCTGTAGTGTGGAGTCCGGAAAGATTGGAAACTGTTTTCCATCTTTCCGGACTCCACTCTACAGAATATGTGCATAAACCCACTCCGTTATTTTCAAGCGTTGGCCACGTGACAACAGTGAAGAAACGCAGAACTGACTTAGCACCTCCTATCGAGTTTTTCACTTAGTTCTCGAAATCCCAACTTAGACGGACTTGGTAGTTCTTTGACGATAGCTAGGCCTATGCACGCCGCAAGTTATAAAATAAGTCAAATATAATAATACATCATAAAATGAGTGTCAATGGAAAGGTGACAAATAAAAACTGGGCGGAAACGTATTTCCTTCAACGGTAAACCACAGTGTCTGGTGTGCTTTCAAGTGATACCAGAATATAATTTGGAGCGAACGCGAGCAAAGATACAGAAAATACTACGGTTTGTCAAATTTGGATAGAAAGAAGAGAGAGGTATTTTTTTGGAGGCAATTCTGAACTAGTCTTTATATATCATCCTTAAAATGACAAAATCATCATCCACGCAACATAACAATAGGCTGAATAAAGTAAGTAAACTCGCGATTTTTTTGATCACTAGTAAGTTTTCTCCGAATGCGACCTGCGAGACCCCCTCGCAACCTTGGACCACCCAGAATTCTATCTTATGACATGCGTTGTTCGGTTCGCACAAGCTAGCTAGGAAATTGTAACGTCATAGGTATAGATAATAAATTGGACTCGAGTATTGGCTTGACAGATGAAACTAAATCAAAACTGGTTTCGCGGACCGCATAAATTTTACGCCGCTCCCGAAGTATGTGCACCAAGATGGCGCACAACCTGAACTGGTACACATACTATGTTCAGGTTGGGCACCACTTCTGGAGGTCCAATTTTCCTTGTGGGCCGCATTTCCCCCCACACGAGGTGCAGGTTGCACACTCCTTCTTTACACTTTAGAGATTCGGCGCTTAAAACTGGTTTGCATTTTCATAACCATAACTTTGATTCAAAATTTTAAAGCAACTGTTGTATAATATCGACTTAAGTCGTAAATATAAAACAATACAAGAGAGCTATGCTCAAATATATGGATACTAAGGCCAAAGCGAAGTAGAACGAGTATGTAATCACTATCGGCACAACAGTGTTCAGGACTAACGCGAAACCGTCACAAAGTGCGCACGTTTGGTGACGTCATCGTGTCCATTCCCCATAGCGGACCACGGGCCCACGGTTGGGAACATTCGCCCTACAGCAAGTTCTGAAATAAATAGGAGTGATAGCTTTCTAATATACAATCTTGGACCACTGAAAATTTCAAAGAAATTGGTTTTGTAGTTATGAATAAAGCAATTTTTATAACAATTAGAAGACAAATATCAACAACTAATTAATAACAAAACGATTCATCGGTTCATTTAACAGATTGTACAACACTGGTTAACATTGTTTTCGTTGCTGATTTTTTTTCTTGTCTTTTTTCTTGCAGCATTGCTGATGGACTACGGGTCTTCAGACCCATTCATGGTTACCGCAATTATCAGAAATTGAATCAAGTGAAACAAGTGTAATCTAAAGTAACGAAAGGCAATTTATTTCATTTTTTTCTCGAGAACCTTGCTGCTTCCTAACGCAAGTATATTTCTGTAGCGTTTCGTTTGAACAAAGCCATACTTACTCGAAAAACACCATTCAAATACTAATTTAGCAACGCAAATAATTATTGGATTCAGATCTCAGCTTTGAGTTCAATGTGATTGAATGTGAGCAAGTAAAGCCACTACTCCATTACTTTATTAGTTTACCATACCATACAGTAGGGGTCGGCAACCTACGGCCTGTGGGCTGGAGTATAAATATTTATAATTTCCAACTATGAGGTTGCTAAAATATGATCGCCGTCTGTTATGATTTACGAGACCGCAATCAGGTTAAAACCCGGCGTAGCAGCGACAATGTAACACGATAGATGCCATACGACTAGAGACGTGACATGCGAATGAGTTCGCGACAAGGTGAAAAATAAACGGTTGAGCAATAAGATTAGTACAGAATACAGATATGGATAAACCCTCTTATCGGCTTTCCTTTTTTCCGGGATAAATGTGAAATTTCTATCCCATTCAGAGTTGAAAATTTCCAAGTGAGTGTACGTAATCTAGTCTTGTGTGCTAAATGTCAAGATGACGAATCTTGAGTTTACAGTAAAACTAAACGACCAGAAAATTGAATTAAGTGAACAAAATATCAGTGTAACCCCTAACCTAGTTGCATTCGAAACATACTTCACATTAGGAGCCTGTGGTTTATTATATCTTATAAACTCACCGAAAACTAAAAACTCACCGAAAACGATTACATTGTGCTTCCAAGGGCTGATTTGAATCATGTTGTTTGCAGGTACCTCACTTTAGGCAACTGTGGACAGGGACGCAGCCGGGGGAGTTTGGGTCGGGGTCGAAACCCACCTTTTTGAAATTTTTGAAAAACTCAGTAAGTCGCTAATAACGCGTGCGATTGCATTTTTCTAAAATCGCCGATTGCTTATGTCAGCGTGACGTGTTATTTAGGCCTTAAACAGCCTTACGTTGGTGTTTATTCTCCCCAAATCACAAATTTGTGCCACGCCAACGATGATGATTACTTTATTTTTGTACTCGAACGAAATTGTCAATCTGGTGAGAGTTATTATAGATTTTCATGGGCGACGAGATGCTGAAGACAAATAAAGGAGTGAACCGCGACCCAAATTTTTCGATTGAAAAGCGGCAATAAAATAATAAAACCGTAAACAATATTAGTTCATTTACTTTTTTATCCATTACTTTGAATTGCCGTCGAAATTTCCGTGACAAGGTTGGAAACGCGACTCTCTCCCGAGTTGTGATGATGTAACACTGTAAAAAATATTTACTGGCATTTTACCTGGCACCAAAAAACGGTCAAAATACCGGTCCGAATGCTGGCAAAATACCAGTGAAATACCTGTAAAAATACTGCTTTACATGTAATATTATGTTTTTTTATTTGCTATTTTCCTAATATACAACGGTAAATATACTGCTTATTTACAGGTAATTTGCCAGCTATCCAACGTTAATTTTACTGCCCATTTACTAGTAAATTCCGCAGCTTTTAACCGTAAATTCGCCTGCCGTTTACCTGTAACTTTACTACCTATTCACAGTTAACTCACTGGTGTTTTACCAGTTTTCGTACTGTTGTTTTGACCGTTTCTTTGGTGCCAGCTCAAATACCAGTAAATATTTTTTATATACTTCAACTCACTGATTCACCTGTAACTTTCTATTGTTTGCCCATGCGGATTAAACACACAAATACGTTTTCAACAAAATAATACAAAATTATTAAAGAAATGTAATGTAGAAACGAAAATAAGTTTGTAACAATAAGTCTCTGAAAAAGGTGACTTCCCCAACAATGCTCATTAGAACTATTTTCAGTCACTCCACAAGCTTTCCCAGTTTCATGACTTTGGGGTGGATGGCATATTTTTGTCGCTTTTTGCTTCTGGTGCCGGCAGTGTTGATGCCAACGAAATATCTGAAAAATGCATATCGGAATATATAAAATTCACCAAATGTGACTTATCAAACTCAAATATCTTTAATCAATGTGAAACTATGAATTACCTAAGTTAACATTCACTGACAAGCAGAAATGCCTGAATTAAAATTTCAGATTTATAAAATTGTGAACTGAAACTTCGATTGATCACAATGATTATTGACCGCGACTTGGTCCAACCATCAAATGTGTTTCAATTTGGCCATGCCTATCTAAAAGTCAGCTGCTCACCTTGGTATGAATTCATATGTTAAAGCATAAGTATCAGGATATCTCATGTCAAAAACAAAAAATGCACAAAATGTGTAGACCAAGGCAGAAATGAAGTCTGTGCATCTCATCATCACGATTTTTTCAATTGAAACGCAAAATTTTTCTGCAATCACGAGGTTGTCTCCTGTACATGGAAACAAGTCATTTAAAATGTTTTCAGGTAACAAACACAGTACTAAAACTTCCTCAATTTTATTTAGAAAATATCCTGAAAATAAATTGGGATATAACAGATTCTTTCCATTCTTAGAGAATGAGATTCTCTGGTTCGATGCATGATCAATCCAGTCAGTCCATTTTCATCACCAACCATAGTGTAATGAACTTGCTGACTGCGCTAATCAGAAAGATTCGTCTTTTCAAACATAAGGCCCCATATCATGTATATATCCTGAATCTGAGCGGAAAACTTAAAAAAATTCTCTCAATTAAAAAGAATGATGGAAACTTACCGAACACAATAATGATTGGAGCTGCTTGAAGCGATGACAAAACTTCTGCTAATTCTACTTCCAACCAGCCAAGATGGATAAATGCTGTACGCTGAGATACGCCAAAAAAAACACAATACATTCAAAATTAATTATTGTCATTTTATATTTCGATTTTGATATTTTCATGAGCAGTCAGCGTCAAAACTGTGAAAGCAAGACCAGGCTCATATAGTATAGTAGTAACTGTTATAGTATTAAGTTCATTAGATTAACAAATAAAAGTTTATTGTAGAGGACACAATAGACGCAACTGTTTAGAAAGAAATCCTAGTTTAGACTAGCATACTCGTGCAAAACGTATAAAAAAATCTGCTTTCTGCGTACTTTGCCAAATATGTGACAAAACCAAACCAACCTCAAAAAGCTGATAAACAGATTTTACATCTTCTTTGAAATAGCATGCCAGGAGGTCAATGATCCTCAGAGCTTTTGGAGCTGAATGTCCATGTTCGCTGCATTCTTCTCCAATCTTTTTGGCAATGGAAGGTATTCCAGCATGAGATCTGGACTTGAGTGCTCTAAAGTAATAATGAGAATGCATAAGTACTGACTGCTACAAAATGTACATTAATTGTAAGAAACAGAGTAGGAACCAGGTCTTCAGATAAGAGGTCATGTAAAAGCTTATCAGCCAAAGCATTGCAAAGTGGTCACCTTCAATGACCAGTTTGTCACTTCACTGAACCGGCTCACATTATGCCACATTACTTGAAAGTCATTCTAGTCGAGAACATAGATAAGTATAACAGCAGCCACTTAGCATATTTTGATAATCAATAGTATAGCATACTTGAAAATTTTCTTTGCCTGTGAACATAGTTTGGAATTAAACTGTTCAACTGCATCTGGTTTGTTCATGAGTGTACAGAAATGATCCTAAAGATGCTCTTTAATTAGAAGGAATGGAAATTCACTTTTTATTTGTTCAATCGTGGTTTTGTTGTGTATCATTTCTCTTTGGAGCTCATAAGTCTCTCCCATTCGGTATTGATCCAAAGATGAATCATGCGCTTCAAGTTTAAAGTGATCAAGAAGCCACAGCTTTGCTTCATTTAGGTGCTGCAATGAATGCTTTTATGTGTCGGAGTTGGCGTTGATACAATCGCACTTTTGGTTTGTCTTCTGACATATACATATCTGTATAATAACTGATCTGCTAGTGACTGGATGCCAAAATTGATTTTGTCACCATGTCGGAGAGTATCGCTGAGGGAATTGGGATATTGAGATGCGACTTTACATGCAATTGTGTGTAAGTTTCTCTTTCCTGGTTTTGGATAAGTCTTTGTGATTTCCTCAATGAGAATTTTCACCATTTCTCTTCTGTTAAAAGGAGTTGGTACTTCATTGTTATTGCAGCTTGTTATTAAGTCTGCAGGAAACTTGTGCCATGGAATTTCAAAATTCATGACCCAGTTTTGCATAGGTGAAGGTTGTAAAGAATGGCTGCTGTCAGTTTCAACACTTGATGACAAATTATCTTGCTCCTCAACTGTAAAAAATGTAATATGTATAAAACTTATAAAAAAAATCAGTAAGATTCGAAGAATTTTTATCAGTCAATACTTTTTCATAATTTTTTTCCAATTTCTTTCCACTGAAATTGAGATATCATACAAAAATAGAAAATTTTCAAGTAAACTACGGCCATGGGCCAGGAAGCATAAACAAATTCACCATATGTTAAAATAAACTTATCATGTGTGCAGGATTGATATAAAATACGGTTCACAATCCCAAATAATAAAGCCATACTGTACATACTTTTGTCTGCTTTCCAGGTCATTATAAGTTTTCGGGCTTGGATTGTTTTCAAAATGCTTCCTCTAGTGAGGTCCTCTTCGTTAATTAAACTTAAATCTTTGGCTTCCTCAACTCCCAGATCATTAACTATAATATAAGCTATTTGAGTTGCTAATTCCCTTGGTACATTAAGTACCTTTAAAATATCGTTCTCAATTTCTACCTGCATACTGTTAATGAAAAATATGAACAGTACAAAATGGTTAAACTTCAAATAAAAAATATTACAGGTTTCAGTGTCACAGGTTATAAGACTTATATCACAATGAACACAAATGCCATCAACTTACATGATGTTTGAGTGCGAACCATGAATCTTTCCCTAACCTGTACACATATATATGGGATCATAGTCTAAAATTTGGTCAAATTTCAATATTTTGTATGGATTCAAATCATTCCCAAGTAAGTATATTCCAATATGAGGATTATATGTGCCACTAAATGTTTTCACAACCATGTATTCTTTTTCTTGATAAACAAAAATACACTCAATTTAACCAACTACAAAACCAAAGTCAACTTTCTCAAGTAAAATATTTTTTTTTTTTTATTAAGTTCCTCGATAAAAAAATTTATCCAGAAAGTGGCTATCAGTAAAGGGAAAACCCCACGCTTCAAATGTGTGCATGAAAGCTTCAGAATATACAATTTGTCGATTTGCTAATTGTCGCTGAATTAAGGGACATGCAAATCTTTGTTCTAACATGCAAGCTTTCATCATTTGGTGACTATGTGCAAGGGTTTTGCACACATTGACAAAATTCCCAGTTCTCCAGACTACATTTTTAAAATAAGAGTTTTTTCCCTCAAACCTCAAAGTCCAGCATCTAATAAACGGGTCAAAAAGTGAGATCAATTCCGGATAATGCATCAAATAATGATGCTTAGGTCGCACTGTATGACCAGGAAATAAGTGTTTACGGGATGCAACATATCGTGGCAATAGCCATTGAAGTGTGCTGATAATTGCATTTGAGGCTTTTGGTGCACAAATCAACTCAACAATATATCTAAGATTTGATCATTTGCCAAATTGAATCATCAAAGTCTTGGACCTTGTCAACTACCCAAAATGGAAAAATCCTTAAAAACGCTCGATTTTGTGAAGCATTTCCAGTCAGTTTTTCCAAATTTGGTTTCAATATTTGTGGTTTGGAGGTACTGTCTGACATGTTATAATGAAATGTCGAAATGCGCATATTCAGGTAGTCCAGAGTAAACCAGCCGTTGGAAATAGGACACCGTATGAATATTTCCATGTCGAATTGAGCGACCCCTTCAAATATATCATGGGCTAAGCAAGGTGGTAGGGATGGCTGACAAACATGAAAGTAATTAAATTGATTAAATATGCACTCATATTTTAATCCAGTGATATTCCCAGATACTTGTAGCAGCATTTGATTACCACTCTGGTCATATGATTCCTTTGTACGCAATGGCTCAATAACAATCCAGTTTTCTGAAAAATCACTTCTTTTAACGGAGCAATATCTACAAAAATATTCTAATGTGCCAAAATTTGTAACAAATCCTCCTATCCAATGACTACCAAGATTATCACCTAGTATGCAAGAAATACTCCCTCGAACTTTTTCAGAAAACCCCAAGTCAATTCCTTCATGTTCAACAATTTTCAAATCTGCCAATAGAGGACTGAAAAGTCTTTAATACACTCATTGCTGACATACTGTTCTTTTACAAGCATCACAAGCTGGATAGGAGAAACTTTTGACTGACAATAAGGGTGAATATTACCCAAGGTGAAGTACGTTGCGAGAATCTTATGTTTTCTCTTTGCAGATCCTAATGGATTAACTATTTCAAACGCGCCTTGATAGAGAATAATTTGTAGAGGCCTCAGAACAGCTTCTTAATTAAAAAAAGAATTTTTTTTGAAAGTGTCTCCATCTTTTATGTCCAAAAGGTAGTTTCCTGGATCAATGGGGTTAAGATATTGATAGCAAATGCTTTCATATTTGAAAAGCGCTTTGATTGAATTAAGAATAGGTATATAATGATAGCTCTCTCTATTCGGTTCAGGCTGTGATAAAGTTCTAGCTACATTGTAAGGCAATGGTTCAACAAAGGTTAGTAAGTTTTTGTATAAGCGTTCTCTGAGATAACTTGATTGCAGAGTTCCATCACCAACAGGAGTATTCATCATCACGTGCATTACGGATTCAAGCACTTTTTTTTTATTACAGATTGCTGTATGCCCTCATCTTGCAATACATTTTTGATAGCCAATTCAATGGAAGCATGTGTACAACTGTTGATTTTCTGCTGAGCCTCAAAGAATTTTGCTGATAGTGATACCAGGAATGAGTAGTTTATATTGCAGCATGGCACAAAACACTGTACAATTTCTCCTGAGAGTCTCCAAAGAATCAACATGCGGATCCATTTGAAATGATGGAGATGGTGATGAGAATACTTGGGGTGTCAGTATGGATCCAAAATTAATAGGACGGTCAATTTGCATAACTTCACGTGGCTGGATAGATAAGCGATGGGTTCTTCGAATATGGGAAGAAAACGTGTTCAGATTTCTAAACTTTTTGAAACAAGTAAGGTATGGACAAGAAATCTCTGTACCAGCTCGAATATGATTTTTCAAATGTTTTACTATTAATTTTACTATTAATGTGGAATCTTCAGCATCAAAGCCCCATATTGAAACATTGCAACGCAAGTCTACATCTGCCATATTTTAAGCCTATGATTCAGTCATTGCTGTATCAAATTATCAGAGAATTAGATTAAAAAGTAGTGTAATGGAAAAACTGGAAAGAGTGGCTTGAGTGAAAACAAAAATACGAATAGGACCCACTTTTCTTATTTTAGTAATTATTGAATTAGAGACCATGAGAATATATGTTTGGTTGAATACCGTACTGTACTGCTGTATCGTACCGGTACCGTAATGTACGTCCGTAACCATCAGCATTTACTGGTATCTAAGTTCAGTATCAGCATCTACTGGTACCCGGTCCAACCTTTCACAGAATCCTGGAATCATGTTCCATATTTTCATCAACTTTATAACTGTGTATTTAGGTACGGTACCAATTTAGTGAAATTGTGAGGTATTAAATAAGGGAGGCGGACAACTCGACTACACGGACAACTCACCAGAGACAACTCGACTACCTGGAGACCTGGTGAGTTGTCCGTCTCTTCGCATTTTCTACGGTGGTGTTTTAGGTCTATAGAAATGCGTTTTTGATATTTTTAGTGCTCGAATGTTGAGAAAAATACATAAATATTCTCTAGAAAGCATTTTTATTTGTATAAGTGGCTTATTCTAATCATGTTGTATGAATACAAATACAGTCTACAGACGAAATTGAAGTAACGTTAGCGAAGTTAGACTGTTGACTTATAGGACTGTGTTCGTTTAAATTATATGAACTTTATTGGTATTAAATGTTTTGAATGAGCACATTTGAATATATTAAAACCTTTATACTTCACAGTAACACTTAAATATTTATGAATGTGAGCTTAGTAGTCTGTGGTTGCAGTAGTCTAAACTCGCCTACGGCAGTCGCCCGTCAACTCACCAGTCGAGCAAACGCTCTGCGACGTGACGTCATCGATGCTCGAGGTAAAGACAACTCGACTACCGAGCAACGAGAGTCAGACAACTCACTAGTCGAGCAATCGCTCTGCGATATAGATGCTCGAGGTAAAGACAACTCGACTACCGAGCAACCTCACTAGTCGAGCAATCGTTCTGCGATATCGATGCTCGAGGAGAAGACATTGCTTTGCAAAACGCAGACTCAATAGTTGCATAGCATTTACTTAGTGCCGACTGATATTAGTTGTAAGCCAACTTACCACGGCAAGGTTTCAGTCATAGAGTTGAAAATTCTTTTTGCAGAAAAAAACCAGGAACAGATAGGCACTGTCGCTGCGCCTGGCAAAGAAACTGAGCCGGAGAATGGATAAAAGATGTTTACTTTTTGTTACGATTAATGAATTTATTATGATATTTAAATACTAAACGTTATGGGGAAATTTAATGGATGGAAGGTTTTCTTTTTCGTTACGAATATTGAATTTTATTTGAATACTGAACGTTATGGGAAATTTGCTGCGTTACATACTTACTCTTTGCAATACTGCGGCCCGTAGATCCTTGAACACCTCCGAAGAAGAGAGTCCACAGATAACTCTACTTCCTTAAACTCCCAGACACGTTGCACCCTCTCGTTGGCTTCCGCATACCTGCCGTTGACACGCCCCACAACAATATCTTCCAAAATCTCCACAACGTCTGCCTCTATCCCTATACTTACCTAATACGTTGTTGAGATTAAACTGTAAAAAGGCATATTTTTCCGAGTTATACTGTTAAATAGGCGGTGCCAACCTTCCAGATGATTGTTGGTTCTTATTTCTACGTCGAATACTGACCAATCATTGGGAGTCCAGACACTGTTGTATAGCCATGTGTTTTGAAAATATTCGGCGAAGTTCTTGAGTTTGCATCTTATTTTTCAGTGATTTGAATCTGGACGTAATAAACATAGCTGGTATATAGCACAGCGCCATGACATGCTTGATCAGGTCTCTTGTTCCAGCGTCCCTAAAACAAAATAAAAACATGTTAATACAAAAGTAGTTAAAGATGTACAAAGACATATATAAATATGGTTAATCACTCATTTGTTGTATAGACGAGCCAAATTATTGTGACGCACATTCTTCATGATGGCCTGAGTGGAGTAATATCCATGCGCGGAGATTAGATAAGGTGCCAGATCGGTGATAATGAAGCCGCGCGCCGAGATTACTGCTTGGTTATCGCCGAGTTTAAAGCCTCATTATCGCCGGCCTGACACTTTACAAACGTAAGTACTCATTAGCCGAGGTTGTTTTCATCACAGTTTTATACTGAAACGAGGACGACTAACGGTATATTAACTCCACAAAAACTACGCAAGAATTCAAGATAACTACACCAAATATGTGCAAGAGATGTGACGACAACGTTTACATGAAGCAGGAGGGACTCATCTGTGACGTCTGTCGGAATTGGTTTCATCGCAAATGTTTTAATAAAACAGATGTGGCAATGACAAGGGAACAGTACAGGCTATTAAAAAAACAGGAGATGGAACCTAGCCGTCGGCTGGTAGACTACTCATGTGGTGAGTTGGCTCGCAACTAATATCAGTCGGCACTAAGTAGGCCTAAATGCTATGCAGCTCTTGAGTCTGCGTTTTGCAAAGCAATGTCTTCTCCTCGAGCATCGATATCGCAGAGCGATTGCTCGACTGGTGAGTTGTCTGCCTCTCGTTGCTCGGTAGTCGAGTTGTCTTCACCTCGAGCATCGATGACGTCACGTCGCAGAGCGTTTGCTCGAATGGTGAGTTGACGGCCTGCCGGGCGACTGCCGTAGGCGAGTTTAGACTACTGCAACCATAGACTACTGAGCTCACATTCATAAATATTTAAGTGTTACTGTGAAATATAAAGGTTTTAATATATTTAAAGGGGCTCATTCAAAACATTTAATACCAATAAAGTTCAAAAAATTAAACGAACACAGTCCTATAAATCAACAGTCTTACTTCGCTAACGTTACTCCAATTTCGTCTGTAGACTGTATTTGCATTCATACAACATGATCAAAATAAGCCACTTATACGAATAAAAAATGCTTTCTAGAGCATATTTATATATTTTTCTCAACATTTGAGCACTAAAAATATCAAAAACGCATTTCTATAGACCTAAAACACCACCGTAGAAATGCCAAAAGACGGACAACTCACCAGGCCTCTAGGTAGTCGAGTTGTCTCTGGTGAGTTGTCCGTGTAGTCGAGTTGTCCGTCAGCCCATCAGTCTCCCAATCAACCTAACCCAGTCTCCGAAACTCAAACCCTGCAATTACTGGTACGGTACGGTACCCACCGTATCTCGTTCATCTGCGAATTTGACCCCTGCTGATATAGCCTACCGTACCGGTAATGGTCACCAGCCAAAAAATGCTTTGCTGTATTGAGCAGGGTTAAATTAGGTGAAATTTTACTTAGTGCGTAGACCACCGTGGTCACCGTGGTGTGCCGTACCGGTACGGTACTGCACCCAAAATTAAATAGTCTAATACGGGATTATATTAAATCTCGAGCCAGTACCGGTACGGTACCGTACGGTATCTGTCTGTCTGTATTTAACTGTATAAAGTACAACACACACACGGCGACAAACACTGACAATAACGGTACCGGTACCATAGTTACCTACTATCTTTTTTGGCGTGGTATTTGGTTTACTGCACGTAAACATCTTATTACTCGCTTTGCATATTCAGCACCAGAGCGCAATAAACAACTGTGAGAACCTCGACTTTTAGGGTGGAGATCAAAATAGTAGTTTAACCTCGAATCGGAGTTTGACTTTGGATCGGCGGTTTAAGTCCCGATCAAAAAGGTGGTTTAACTTCCTGTGACGTAAATCTCGACTTAAACCACCTCCAGACCAGGTTTAAAAAATCGCCGATTTTAACTCCGCTATATATGTTTTTTTCAAATTTCCATGTATCAACCGAATCAATAGATATACCAGCCGAAATTAATATATTCTATCTAAGTCAGATGTATGTTAAACTAGTTGAACTTAAACGCTTGAGAAATGGTCATCGTGAGTGTGCGACACCAAAATTTAGTATAAAACAAAATTTTAAGAAAAGATGCTCTAGACACAAAAAGAAACTTTCAAAAAAATTGAACAATAAAATAAGAAACAAGAGAGCTGTGCTCAAATATATGAATACGTCACAAGGTGTCGCTATTTTTTAATCTGACACATGAAAAACGAATCTATTGAAGTCCACAGCAATTTTTGAAATAAGTAAAAGTAATAGCCTTTTGGCAAAAAAATCAATCTTTAACCACTAAAAATTTCAATGCAATTGGTCCAGTATTCGAAGAGAAAAGCGATTTCATCATGACGAAAGAGGAGAATAATAACAACAACAACATAATATTGAAACGATCGTTATGTACACTGACGTGTCCAATAATACAATTCTTTACATATGATTTGAATAGGATAAAATAACGTAGCAGTTGAGGGAAGACAATTAGGACACAGTATTCAAAAAAACACGTTTCATTATTTCATTCAGCTGTACTTCTGTACGATTACAGAGCTTAAATTTTTATTTATTGACACATGCAACATCAAAATGCACGATCATTTTTATTCGAGAAAAATAGTACGTATTTGCGATAGAACTGTGTGTTGGTTTTTAGTCAATTCGCCGCGAAAATCGTGCGAAATCGGTTCTCTAAAATTAGCAGTAACTATCCGGTTAACCGCATAGGTAAAATACGAAATACCCGGATATATCCGTTATCCGGATAGTATAAATTATAGGTATCCGAACTAACCCTAATTATATGATCTACTTAAATTTGCTGTTTTTTTTTGAAGCCCCACCAAAAATGTTACCCGATTTTGAATCGCGTTCACTCTTCTGTTTTTTTTTTTAAATTTATGGTGGGTGGGTACGTGACTTTTTAACTTTATTTTAAGTTATGCTCGCATCCCGGGTATCTATGCATTTTGTTAGTCTGTTTATTTTTTGTGTTGTTTATGCCAGAGAACCGAAATAAAATGAGTGATTGGTTTGATTATCCAACGAAATCTATGCTGGGGGTAGCGTAGCAACCATTTTAGTTCTGATTTTAGATTACCGTACTGCAGAGAATCTGAAAATTTTCACAATCGGTTTTAAAATCTTTAAGTTGAATGTGGTTAAGGTAAATTTCCATTGTTACCATAAACCTAGTCTCAAACATATCCTAAAATCCTGTTTATTCACAAATGTATGCACGTAAGTTACCTGTGTCGCTTATGGACTGCTCTCTGTAAGATCCAAAGAGCGGTAATCCGACGCGGC